AAACTTCATGGTTTGACTCTGTTTGCATATTAGGCTTGTTGTACCTATATATAATATTACAGTTGTAGCTAGTGCGATCATATCACGTAGGTATACACTTCCGATCGTTTCTGAGTGCGAACACGGTAGCATAGAGGACATGCGATTGTTAATTAATTTTTAGTGTTGATGACACGTGCTCTAAATTGTAGAAATATGCGAAATTTAACGCGAAACGGCGAGCAAACATAACAATAATAATATTAATATTTCGGTTGGCGGGCAAGGTTCTGCAGTCCGCCCACAAAAGTGTGTGTGTAAAACATACGAGAAACGAGTTGTTATGTTTATAAATTTATGAGTTTATGTCATCATCATATCGTCCAGTTCTAGCACATAAATATTGCTGTCTCTATTATTATGCTATCCACCGTGTATAATTCGATGCAGTTTGGTTATCATTGATTATATTATTACGTGAGTCAAAATAAAAAACTCGAATCGCTTCCTCACAGTCTACCGCCGTGTGACTAACTTGCCAAGAGAGCGATTGGCATAATGCATAAATATGCCTGAGTGTCACCGAGAGTTCGTCCTGCGCAGGGCTTGATTAACCAATAGGCTGAGTAGGTTACAGCCTAGGGCGCTAATCGGCCAATGTTAAATTGAGGGGGGGCACAAAATACTCTCCCCCCTACACCGATTATTCGTAGGGGCGTAAAAATATAAAATCAACCTTAGCCTACTGGCGACCAACTCCTTAATCAAACCCTGGTCCCGCGTGTTGTTTCGAGTTAATGTTTTTGAAAAAACAATTACCACACATGTTGGAAGAGACGCATCCGGTTTGGGCCCAAGTATACTTTGTCACCTTATTTTATAATCTGACCTTAATCAGACACTGGGAACAAAAGACAGAGTTTATGCAGATCTCAAGTCTCGGGAAATAATATGATGCTACTCGCGTAATATACGAGTATTATATAAATGTATCATTGTTATCAGAAAACGCAGTCCTCGTGACTCAGGACAAGTGAAAAGATTTACATATATAAATATATAATAAAACCTATGATAAGTATAATATTCATACAAAAAAAAACTATTATGCTCAAAGTCTCGACTGTCGTGCAAAGATTAACATTAGGTATACGCTTCAAAAAAAAAAAAAAAAATGAAATCGAACGAGAAAATAAGACGTGTATTACCTCATATAGGCATGATATATAATATTATGTTGCGTTTGAATAAGCCGCCTGCAGTGTGTATATAAATCTGAGGGCGATTAAGAGATGAATGAGACCCGACGAGGGGTGGAGTTTGAAAACAAAATAAGTAGGTGGTGAAATATCTTGAATGAAAAAAAATGACGGCGAGACGCAGGCGGCATTGCCCCAATTGCCCATCCGTATCCCAGGACCACCACGCTATCATAATATTACAAAATATACTACAAGAATGATGCTAATGCATAATAACCGTTTGGGTACATCGGTGGACGTACACGGGAAATGGTATGGTGATCGGTGGATATACTAGTAAAGTGGTAACAATGCGGTACAGAGCGAGTTGAATGTGCGAATTTACGCGAAATATGGTCTGGCGAGCGGAACTCACGGTAATAAATAGAAACTCGATTCACGATTGTATATAATATTATTATTATATACGTAAACTCGTAACTCAACAATGAACATGGTGTGAACGCAAAGTTTGGTTACGAGTTTAAAATTCAATCACAGGGTATAAGATATATTGTGTTGTTAGTTTGTTACCGAAAGAATAGTTTTGAAATAGGTAGTACATATTATAATACATGAAATCTATGTATATATTATGTACCTTTGGATAGGTATGACTATTTATATATACATAGTATAAATAATATGTATTCGGATGCGTCGGGTAGCACAGTAGCGGAGGATTCCCTTTCGTTAAAAGGGTCTACTATTTTTATTGAAATTTACTTCCGTACGGATTTTACCTACGTATCCCGCTCATATATAATAATAAATATGTTTAGTTATGTAATAATATATATTTTTATACATCGGTGCAATGTAGTAGTTTGATTGACATCTCACATTCAACCACACACGCACGGGTGGATATATTACATTGTATTATGTATATTGTGATGGTATAGCATTAATATATATAAGACTACTATATAGGTAGTACACGTGTACTCAAACGTCACAAACACCAACCTACAACCTGAATAATAATATTCGAAAATTGTATCGAAACATTGTAACATGCCATTGCCGTGGCAAGTCCATAATAATGTGTTATTCAATGACGTACCTGGTTTAATATCGCCGACAGATGGGTTTCCCTGTCGAAATATTCATCATCGAGTTATCCTGCAGGAAACCTACTGCAGTCTGCACTCTGCAGTAACTATCTATAATGCATATACGTACTCGGAAAAGATTTATAAAAATAACACTCCGGGTTGGCAATCGAACCGGAAACTCGTTCTCTCTCTCTCTTTCTCGCTCTCTATCTTTCTGTCAATCGGCCGGTCTGGCGATTACTCAATTTATTTTATTTAGCTACAGTTTACGCCATGTTCACTGGATACGTATTTTATCTCCAATTTCTGAGTCGTTTAACTGATTTCTAACATCCGTAACACAACCTTAGTTTATTTTCTCGTAACTTGATATGGATTTACACTGCACGTCGACGACAACGTACCATGGACGCACGGCGCTCTAAATGGTACCTACAGAGAGGCACTTTACAGTAGGCACCTGTTGTACGAAAGTACACAGTAGTAAACAACTAACTGTACATAAACACTCACACTGTCACGTAAACATGTAATTTTATTGAAACGAAAATCGAGTTTTAACCTTTAACGGTGTCTCGAGCAATCGGTTCATACGATATTTAATGTACCTAATATGAATGTAATGCATTATGTCGTTATACGTTTTAAGTATTATATTTACTCAAATATCCAATGTGTTTAAAGAATGATGAATTGTTGAAGTTTATATAATGACTTTTGTGCAGTAGTATCAAAATTAAACTCTATAGGTTTACACAAATGTAATATAATAATAGGTGTTAATAAATGTATATCTAAATAAAACTGTAAGGAGATTTGACAAGAAAACACGCACTTACCGGTGGCGCCTTAAACATTCAATAGAGAGACTTCGTTTGTCTCATCTAGCTTACTGATCAGTTTATTTCACACACACACACACACACACACACACACACACACACACACACACACACACACGACGTCCCTTTTACGAAAAAATTTAATTTAGCTTGTATTGTTTGTAGATACACAAACCTTGTCACTAAGGGTTGCCTTTCTAGTTATTGTTCAGGTATCGCTGTATAAGGTATTATAGTATCATGTATGATGTTAAACTGGTAAGAAAAACTGTTCCTTACTATTATTAAAACAACTTCGTTTGCTACTTCATATCATAGTAATATTTGATTATCCTTAAATATATATTTCAGTATTAAGACGAAAATGCTAAGCATTAAAGAAAAAGAATAAAACTGTTCTAAGAATAATCTAAACTAACCTCAAATACATTATAATATCTTCCCTTAAATTATTTTTAATCTTTTGTCATTTAAAATTTAGAGAATCTGATTTTCGGCTAACTATAGAGTACACCTAAGTATTTCATAAATCCTACATTTAGTTTACCACACAATGTTTAAAGCGAAAAAATTTAATGATTAAAAACACATTTTTTTTTACAACTCCACCAGTTAATACACAACAATAGTTTTTAAAAAACTTCAAATACAGAAAACTAATCCAATAAATATTTTTTTTAAACTGACTGATACTATTTCTCGGTTGGACAAATTATGTGTACTACAACATAATTTGTAATTCAATGCACGATAACGTGATAGTCACAAAACATTGAAAATTACAGTACAACATCTTTCATTTACGACTTATAGACATTTTATATTCTCCTCATTCTAACAGAGAAAATTAAATACCTATTAACCTTATTTCATACAATAAATTATTTTCAAAATTAATTAAATATACCGTACACAGCTCAGAACTATGTTTGAAATAAGAAGATATCAGAAGATAGATAAAAATAAATAAATAGATAGTTATACTGTATAGCAAACCGAACGGGTAACGATCAAGTTCTTTGAACAATACTACATAAAATAACTTACAGCTAATGCTATATAATGTCGTTATTCGATAAAAGGAAATAACGTTGAAATGTGACTGTGGTCTGTTTAGGTCTTTAAAGGGCACTTAGAGAGTACACTAATACGCTTATACACATAATATGTGTACACTGTACAACCCTTATATAAAGTTAAGCATATATACCTACATGTATGTTCTTGTTGTATTGAATATTTACGAAAAACGTATTTTAGTTAAACATTTATTTTTATAATCAAGTCAGTATTCAAGTATACCTAATTATTTAGCAAATGTATTCAAGCACGTATAGGTACATTTATAAATATAATAAGGACATAATTAGTGATAATATTCGATTTTCATATCGAAACATGATATTTAATATTTATTATTGTAATACTTGCATTTATGCATGAATATTATGTCAAGTTAAAAGTTGTCTGATCGATACTACGGGGCCAATCTTAATAATGGTTAAATATGAATGTCAATGTGTCATTTTAAAGAGGATTTGTAGCTTTGAAGACATTTTTTTTGAATTTATTCCGTTAAGTAATACTATGTCACCGTCAGGAAAAATTAAACAAAAACGACCATGTTTCAATGGTAACCACCGTTGACTAATTTGTCAATAGAATTTACTCTTTTCATTTTATTTTAAAATATTCTGTAACATATATTTAAATTATATATTATACTTGATAGTTAATTTAAAAAAAAAGTAAAGCTCATTTTGTTTATATTATATTAATTAAATTCTACTTTGAATATGATTCAATTACTACATATTATATAATAACAGCTCTAGTCGATCATATTCAAATCAAAACTCGACAAATATTAATTTAAAAAAATGGTGTTTCTGAAACACGTATTCGGAATATTAACACTTCAAACTGGCACAATTTTATTGAGTTCACTATTTATCGTGAGAAACAAGAAATTATCACTACGTACTTTAATAATGACTCAATTCAATGTTTTCAGACGCTGGCTTTATGTGTTTTATTAGTCAACTCATTGGCACTCGACACAGAAGCGCCACGTACGAAATTTTATTATTATTATTTTATTTGAGTTATGAAAAAATGTATTTTTGTATACTTGTTTAATCCATCTACATAAATAAAAATAATAAGTCGGTAATTATATAATTAAATATAGTAATTTCTATCATTGCAATTTGTTTATAGTAGCCTGGATCGCGATGTTCGTGTTTATTGGTTATATGATCGTGATTTGGTTAATATCTTTTTATGGTGCATACAAAGTAAATGTTTACATTTTTTCAACTGTTTATAGAAATGTAATAATATGTGCTGAAATCTATAGGAATCACAAAGCGGAATTACCGTAGCAACTATTTTGTGGACAATTTATATAATAATATGGTTGAAATTGGTTATCTTTTCATTTATAGATGCACAGTTAAGTAAAACGGCTTTAGTTTTCATTGAATTTTGGATAATACTAAAAAAACAGTTTATTTGTATAGGGCTATATGTCTTGAGAATAGATGTCCAGATGTGATGTGGCTATTATGCAACCCGTGGCATGAAAAACAGGGAAGATGTAATAATGTTTTTCAACATTTTTCGAAAAATAATACAAAATCCCTATATGAAAAAAATAACAAACCTCAAATGTATGACGATAGGATAAAAATTGAGAAGAAAAGAGAAAAAAAACAACTTGTAACTACAACTAGAATTTCACATTCTGTAACAGTACCATTTGCGATGTTTGATAACTATGAAAATCGGTCGGAAATCAAAACCAATGAAATAAAATTAGTGCTTAAAAAATGTATAGAAACACCTACAGCACAAAATAACCAAGGGAGTATGCTCGTGTCAATAATAGTATTATTACTGTATTTAAGTAAGTATAAAGATTTTCATAAGCCGTATTCATAAATTTATAAAATAAAAATAATATATTTCTGTTTTACAGTATTAATACTATTTTCATGGCTGATTCTAATTAGTTATCGAGAAGAATTTATACTACAGGCAAATCTTACAAACAACAATTAGTAATATTTGGTAGATTTTCGTTCAAATCTTAATAAATGATCACTAAATATTTCATTTTAATATTATATTTTATTTATTGATTAATTAAATACTATAAATTAAGTGACCTGCCATGACAATATAATCTTTTATTTTACAAATGAGAACCAAAAACCAATGTTTTTTTTGGTCAATATTGAAATGTTGAGGCATCTAAAACGAAATTTTTCGAACTAGTGGTTATTAGTTATTTAATGATTTGTTCTAAAGATAATAATTATAGTCCACGATAAAAGTTTTTAAAAGAGGGGTCAGAGGGACTATGATGATCTTAAGATTACATTAATTTATATTAATCTATCAACATTTCACCATGTGATAATCGGCTGACTACAACAATTACTAGATTACATTGCATCTAATATCTTTTTTATATATTATAATATGAGTACATAAAGCTTAATAACTTAGAAACTATTTTATTCAAATTCTGCAATCTGTATCATCGCAGACCACAGGACAATAAAATTAATTAATTGTATAAAATGTAAAAAACTGATAAAACTATTGTATTAAAAACTTAAGTATACTTAACAATTTTAAACAATAAATGCATTATTGAATGATAATGGTTGAGAATAATAAAATTATAATAAAGTGCTGTATGCAAACATGTTGTTAATTTTTGGATACAATAATGCTACTATATTTTAATATGAAGTGACTTACCAAAATATATATTCTTCTGAAAAATGTTTAATCTGATTATGAGTTGGCATCTTATTTTGTCCTAAGTATACGAATTGTCAGTCATTGTAACAATATAATACATACATTTATTGATATTTTTTGATTTGTATTGATTAAATATTGTTATTTGTAATTTTATTTAATTATGCAACCCTAGTGGATTTTTTTTATATTTGTCTCAATACATCTTCGAGAAGTAAATAATCTAGTGTAGTAATATCGTCTTCCGTAAAATTATTTTGTAATTGTTAATATAAACGTAATAATTATAAATGAATTGTTGCGGCTAACCCTTATCGTTGATATTATGGTGTTCAGTTAATTGTATCAATTAATGTCATTCTTAGACTAAATAATACAATTTGAACAATGTTTGTATTTTGAGTGACTTTATGAACCCAATTATTCTACAATCACTTTCATCTTTCATGACAAATACTTTAAATCTGTGAACAATGCTAAAGTTATTGATCTATTTATATAAATCTGGTTAAAGGCATAGAATAAATAATTTTATTATTTGTTAGTATTATTGTTATTTTGTTTGAGCGTATGGATAGTGGGATGTATAATAATAACAGAGTGTGTTTAAAAAAAAAAACGGAAGTGTAAACATTCCATAGAATCTCGATTTTGGGCAATTAAAATTGAAAAGCTTTTCTTTAACTTTTATACCCCTCTAGTTTTACTTACATAATGTTTCTAACAGGATCTTAAACTTAAAAAAGATATTTACTAAACGTAGTTGTTTAGTGCATCGTTTTTTACTTTAACAATAATAATTATTACAATCATCCGTATAAATTATAATGTGATTAACATTCAATTTAAAATAGAATTATTGTATTACTCGAGGTAACTTATAAGCGAACACGGCTTTCAATTAATTTTAACTATAACAATTATAAAAAAAAACTATTCAAGTTTAACGTATAATGCATTATATTTGATTAAATTAGTAATTACTATCATCAGAGTACTTCAATTTTATTTATTCATCCATGCGATTCTTTGAGAATAAGTCAGTTGGCATTTCAATCGTGACATTAAATCAAGCGTCCTCTACGTACGATATATACTCAGAATAATCAGTACTTATAGAGGCATCTATAAATAGTTTTTTTTTTTTTATTTCATAACCATGTATTACAAGACGTAATTTGTTTTACCTTTGTCCTTTGATCTTACAAATTTTACTGAACTAGTAAAGTAGTAATATTATATTTGAATAATATCAGTAATTAGAAGATTTTATACCTAGTACATTTTATTGATTTATTCTCAAGTTCAGTGAACTAATTTTCATTGAAAATACTACATAGTACATAATTTTACTATAGTAAATATAAATGTATATCATATACAGATAATGTAGGTAAGATTAAATTTCACGAGTTAGTAGTAAAAGTAAATAATACTCTAAATAATTGCAACATTTCACAGTATTTTATATTATTAGGCGAGAATTTAAAAATAAATATTTTATTATATAATATAAAAATCGTATAACTCTTTATGGTATTATTTGGACGATTATGATATGCTTTTATCACTTAAATAAAAGCAAACCGCGAAGGAATATTTACATACAGAGCGATTTATCAAGCATGCTCATTCCCATTTTTTTCTTTAATAACTAAATTATTTAAATTTAAATATATTTACAGACCTTTTTTTCTAAATTCTTGAATGTTTTCTTCTATTTAAGGAGTATCCAAACATCTGCTTTACAAATGACAAAGGCCTCCTCTCCCTCTCTTTTTGACTGTACATTATTTAATGGAAATTTTTAGAGCTAGTAGTTTCTCAGTTATTAAAATATATTTTATTCTAAGAATAATATACTATATAGTGGTTTTATGAAAATATAATACAGATGTACCTAATATTGGATGTAGTATTTATTGTACTTGGACTATTTTTACAAATTATTTATGTTGATAGATTAATATTAATCACGAACATTTTTCTATCAACATAGCACCTATATCATCCAAACCTATCATATCATAATAATATTATCACGGACCAATTATCCCCAGTAGTCAAAGATAAATAACTGAAAACTACTAGTTCGAATTTTAAAATGGAGTGGGTGAGTATGCATGTTGATTCACTCTACCCAGGAACTAACGGCGCAGGCCGATGCTTGACCTCAGAACACGTTAGTGACTGAGCCATACCAGGCCGCACATGGCTATTATATTGTTTTTAAATTAAATTAGTCAATTCACAAATAAACATTATGCATCTTATTTAGTTTATTCACAGAATAAATTACAATTTATAAGTAATAGGGAATGGTATAGGTATCTATAAAAATGAAATAAAAAAAAAAATTATTTTTACTTTACCTCATTATTTTATATAAAAGTGCAGTAGAATCAATAAACAACATTTTCGTAGATTTATTAATCGAATTTATTGTCTAAATAAATTTAAAACAAACAGTATATTATATTGTGTCTATAGTTAATACTTTATAATACGTAATATATTTCCACCTATTTATTCGTTATTTGTCTGACGGCTAGTGTAATCTTAACATTTATATTTCAATATGTTTGTACAACATTTGAAAGCCCGATTTAAACCAATAACATTTACAAATTATCAGTTCCTCAATTAATTTGAATAAACACTAGGTATTTATGACGTAGAAATACTGCAAAAGTACTGCCGTTATACTGGTTAGAAAATTTAGAATTGTTGTTTAAAGCTAAACTGCTATAAGAAATGGTAAATCATTTACGAAAAACAATTTTAATTAAACGCTCAACTACTTTACTTTCAAAATCATATAGTATTATAAAGCATAACGAATGTCTTAAATTATTTTGAAAGCAGTCGGAATATTGCTTAAATAAGTTTTGGTTACTTTTAAACATTTTAAGTCTTCATCTCATTAAAACAATTATTTTTGAATGGGGTAATCTTCTCTCTTTGTAATTTTACTAAACATCAGAATAACAATGCTTTTTGTAACTTAAAAACGTTTAAAGAAACAATTGCACAAACAAAATTGTTAGGTTAAAATAAAAACTTACCTGATTGCTTGGAAGTTTGAACGAAAAAAGTAGTCGCTCCGTTATATTTAATTAAATAACACTATAGCTTGTGTAGAAATAAATTATTTCTATAATATCACGCATCTTGTGTTCTTAAGTTAGAGGTTAACGTTATTGCGTAGTAACTACCGATGCATAAATATATATTATACTTAAGATACTACTCACTCACCTATCTGTTTTTCACTAATTGACTTATTAAAAAATGTAAAATAGAAGCGTTGAAATTAAATCTTATTATGTGTTAGTAGCTTTTTTATAAATCAAATGATATATTACATTTCTTATATGCTCAAGCCGAATAAATAAATACTTATATGGAACTTTCAATAGAAATATGGTAACTGCGTATACTAAATGTTGATATCGCACAACCCGGTGAGTGTCATTGAAGTTCCCGAACAAAAATACGACGTGATATGCAATGTGCGGCATATGTATGTACATAAATCATCTTTAAATCTGTAAAGTATAAGGTTATAAGTTTATAACGCGCCAACAATTTCACAAAGACAGATATTTTTATTTTTTATAAGGGAATACGATCGTTTTGCACGAATGATATCAATAACAGAACTTTGATTGTTTTTTAAAAGATCCATATGATAGTATAGTACACACGATACTCTATTGTTTTATTTTTGTTTTTACCAGCTTTAGTGTTACGTATACATCCTTCAGCAATAGTATGGATAATCATAATGTTATTATTATTATACGAGTGAAGAAGACGCGTGAAAGAAGATTTGTAGATGTTAACAATTTACTCTAATGCAGCCAGATTTGCCACATGTGTTTATATTAAGTATTGACCTAACGACAATTAGGATTTATAATAAATTGACAGACAAATAATTTAGGGGTATCAAATATTAATTTCACAATGTATTATAGTCACATCTAACATTTTTATCCACATCTTTTCTATAAATTAAAAAAAAAAATAACCTATTTATTATAATCATATTATTAAAATAAAAATGTTTTTATTTGCTCTTAAACGTAATTTATGTATAAGGCAAAAATGAACTAATATAAAAAACAAATAATAAAATAACAAAGAACTAATACAAAACATTTGACTTCATTAAAAAAAAAATTAAAATAATATAGAATTCTGGCATAATGGTTCTGAGAATGGCCTTATCGTTTAATTATTGCGTGCGGATGTCAAATGAAAAATGCAGGAATTCTTATCGAATA